GGAACTATTGATCTTCTTCTGAGAAGAACTATTAGTGAGCGGGTCTAATTAACGAGAAGCGAAGATCTGAGAAAAGCGCGTAAACACTCTCGAGCAGTCTAGATGCAAATGAGAGAGAGTGATAAGCCGCAAGGTGGGAGGTGTCGATCATCGCGATGGATTACACCTGTCCGTCAAGTGGCGCCCCAGGTGTCAGAGGTGAAAGGCCACTGGTCATCTGAGGTGAGCGTGCGGTGTGTGTGAGTGGGTGTGTATGTGTGAGTGCCTGTCAGCTGACAGGATTTCTAACATTCTCACCGGCCGTTGACAACTGTAAGTTGTTGACGCAACCAGACTGAGCAGAACCATGGTGAGCTGAAACAAAAAGCAAAAATTCAAAGCGCTCTTTGGTGAGCTGGCGGAGTTTGTCAACCATGAGTGAATCCGTGAGACCGTCCAGAAGGTGCGCTGGCTAGGCATGGCAGCATCCTAGACATCAGGGGTCGTAAATCCCTTCTGCTTTAGCTGCTGTCATTCTCACGTTGAGCCCTGTCGGTGAGTCAGGGTCGTAAATCCGTCGAAGTTGACGAAGTCCAACAGTGAGTAGCTGGTGAGTTGACCTGGTTCTATTCCTCGGAAGGTGAGATGGGCAAGATGACGAGCTTGGCGATTGGCCTCGTCAGCGTCGTCTGAGCAGTCCTGATGCTGACTACCCTGGTGAGTCCATCCGATCCTGGGGTCAGAGCAGTCACTCGGGCGAGAGGCCACTTCGTTGGCGGAAATCTCTCGTCCGTGAGTAGAACCAGTGAGCCGATCCGTAGTTGATGAGTCGGATGGTGCCACTTGGATATCGCCTGAAGACGTTGGAGATATCCCGTGGACCACCTCTTCCAGAATCCTTGGAGTTTCTGCTGAATGAGCTGCCATCTAGAGAGTCTCGAGACGTTGAGTTGCTCTAAAGATGGTTCCGGAAGAGTCGTGGGAGCCTGACCGATGAGAAATAGTCCCGATGTCAAGGCTGAGCAGTCATCAGGATCATCCGTGAGCGGTTCCAGGGGTCGTGAGTTGAGCACCGCTTCGATTTGAGCGAGCAAAGTGGTGAGTTCCTCAAAAGTGAGCAGATCCTCTCCGATCGTTCGGGTGAGATGGAACTTCACCGACTTCACCGTCGCTTCCCATTTCCCTCCAAAGTGTGGAGCGCCTGGAGGATTGAATGACCACTGGGTCCCATCATTAATAAGGAGCTGAGCGAGCTGTCTGGAATGAGCTGATCCTGATGAGAAGAGCTTCCTAAGTTCCTCGTCAGCGCCAAGGAAATTGGTCCCGCAATCACTGAACAAGGAGTGAGCTATCCCACGCCGACTTGAGAAGCGCCTATACGCTGCGATGAATCCTTCAGCTTAATAGTCTGACACGACCTCGAGATGAACCGCTGAGGTGGTCATGCAGACAAAGATAGCCAACCAGC